TGAAACGTGTCGCGCATGCGCCGTCTTCTTCACCGTTATTGTGTGCTGCTGTTGCTGCTGCTTTCCGTTTTATTATCGCCCATGCAAAGTGAAGACCGCAGCTATGCCAAAATTGCTCAAATTGTTTGGAAAATAGTGCAAAAACCCGATAAACATTAAACACCCACCCGCTGGAAATCGTTAGCTATTTTCGTGGATCTTTCTTGGCGTTCGCGTTGCCATCTCCCTTGCTCCCCCACGGCGTCGAATCACCCTCTCTGTCGCTCTGCTAGTGTGTGTGTGTCTGTTTTTTGGGTCCCCTTTCGGTGTTCGGAGTCTTCTTTGTCCCGTGCTTCGTCGCTGTCTTGGCTTTGCTTACGTTTTCGTTCATGAATTTAATTTATTTTCGTGTTTCATATTTGTTGTTTAGCGACCGCCTCTGCTTCATCTTCACCGCTTCCACAGCCTTCGCCTCCCCGGGCAACAACATCAACATTAAAAACAAAGAAATATTTTGCGCAATTTTAGCAAAGGCAGAAAAAAAAAACGGAGAAAACCCGAGAAAACTCACAGAGCATCAGGGGCAGCAAAAATGATCTATAAAAGTTTTATGTGATTACAAAGGGATGCTATTTCTAGTTTTAGAAGCGGTTTGTTCAATGAGTATTTGGAAATTAACTTGATTTTGTCTTGAAACAAATCTTTGAACTTTGCGCAACAATTTCGGCAATTAGCCGCAGAAAATGTTTATTAATTGATGTGAAATATCCGGGGGCTATGGCTAATGTTCAGAAAGCCAGCGCTTCTACCGCAAAACAATTTGGTGTATTATACCGTAATTCCACAGTGATTATTGCCGTTCAGTCTTCCACGCTTTCTTGGCTTTCTCTCCCTCTCACTCTTACCAAGTATATGCAGTGGAAATCATGAATAGTTAAAACGTGATATTAAACAGATTAAGGAACCTAAATGGAAAATTTTCCAGTTAATAAAAGAATACAAAAGTTTAGACTTGTTTTCCACTTGTAAAACTTTGGCGAATTACAAACATTTTCATAAATTAGGTTTCGCATAAACGGAGTAAATCTATATCTATATTCCGCCTCCTCCCCATTCTCCTGCCCCATTTCTGTGCTCGCCCACAATATACCGTCTAAGGTCTACTTTCTGCCTTTGCTGCCACTTAATAATAATTTCTAAACAAACTTCGAATTGCATTAAGCGGAAAAATGCGAAGCTCCTTGTCTTTATGACTTTGTTAGCTTTAGCACTCGGCAGTTGTTGTAATGTTAATTGTTTGCAGTTGTGCAATGGCATTTTATATGTTTTTTTTTTGTCTTTACTTCTTTTCTGTGCCTCCTCTTTGTTGCTACTTTGAACATACATACACACATATAATTGTATGTTGCTTAAAGTTGTTGGTTTTCGGCTTTTGTTGCTATTGCTTTTTCTGCCTTTTTTCGGCTTCTTTCCCGACTATTGTCGATTATGACTAATGGAATTCGTAAGCTCGCAGAAGGTCAATTGTTTTGCGGGTAATTCCGTTTACTTAACACCGCGTCTCGTTTCGTTTTCAGCCTCCTCCCCCCGGGTTCCCTTTATTTGTTTTGCCATTTATTTGGCCATACCCCGGCACTGCACTCGATAAATGCGATTTTATTTGTTCGCTTCATAATTAATTAGAGACATTAACGAACCGTTTTTTTGCCATTTACTTGGGTCTTTCTGCGGTTAGGTACGTTTTTTCATCATAAATTTTGAATAGAAAATATCCGTAACGAGCATAAAATGGAAAATCAGAATATGCTGGCTTGATTTAGTTATTGTTTCCAAACATATAAAAAAGATAATAAATATACCTTTAGACAGATTAAGAACTATTTGATTTTTATATTCCTAAAAACTTATTCGATTTTATGAATTTATTGTATATTATATTGTGAATAAAAAATATTGTAAATAATCACACTTTTATCCTTGACTAGCTATACAGTTTTTTCTATTTTTAAAGCAATAATAAAAACATTTTATACAATTTTTTATATGTCTTATATCTATATCTTCTAAAATGTACCCATATAAATACAATCCAATAGATCATCTTATTGTCTGCTACATACAGCTTTAATGGGATGTTTCTTTGCTATTTCAACACTCAGTAGTTTTCGCCAATCTTATAACTAGAATTACCAGGCTTAAGACATTTAAAAATCAAACAGCAAGTGACTATCACAACCAAATACATGCATAGATAACTTCATTAAGTTTTATGCTAATTCGATCGATAGTTACGCGCTGGCAAAACCTTTTAAACGGAGTGAATCGGTAGCCACAAAAATGCCCAGAAATGACTCAAAATAACGAGCTGGTGGTGGAGTCTCTGTATGAATAATAGCCAAATCATGTTTCACAGAAACCGCCTTATTTTGCAGTGCAATAAATAAAAATCATGGGATCTCAACCGCGCAAATATTGAAGTGTGAAATTAAAAAGTTCAATCCAATCTCTGTGATCAAACGCAAAGTAATGCAAAGTTAAGCCGATGCCCTCCCAAGTCCGTCCTCACCCCGAGTGTTAGTTTGCTTAATTAATTTAACAATACAATCGCGCCGCATCGTAGCAAACAAAGGAATAATATATAATAAATAAAAATTGTTTGCAATCAATATGAGTGTTCCAAGCGCGCCCCATCCGAGGGCAGCAAGCAAAAATCAAAAACCATGTCCAAAGGCAAAACACAAGCCCCGGCTTCAGTTGCCGGGGGCGACCTGTGGAGGAGCTCTGCTTTTGTTGCTGATTAGTCTGGGCCTGGACCTGGGCTCCGTGCATTGTTATGGTGAGTACTGCACAACGGCCTACAATACTTAATAAAAAGTTACCCGTGGATTTAATTAGTACCCATTTGATTTTGTGCCCCCTTAGGATAACGTTTTTTAAATCACATTGTATGGTTATTTAATTCAATTTGATATATTTGCATTGACACGGATCGTGGCGGTTGAGAAATATTTTGCAGTGAGGGAAGGAGAAAACGTTTACTTAAAGTTAAGTTGGGGTGTTAGGGTGATCCTTATCCTCATTATTATAAGGAAAACCTCTTAGGAACTAAACAATTTATATATCAAATCCTTTCTCTCTACACCTTTTTAAATAACGTTCTAATTGATTATTCCTAAAACGCTTTTAGGTAGTTACATTAACTCCTGGACACACCCTTCCTTATGTACCTAAGCGTTTTTAAGTTATTTCTATAATATTATGGCTGTCATTCATTTTGTTAAAGTATCTTAACATGTCAGTTTGATATATGTTAACCACAGACTGCTCACTCTAATGGTAAATGCAATCGCTGAAAGGAGGAAAACAATTGTACGGTTTTTAAGGCAAATAACCCCATCATAATTGCACTCGCACAATAAAAACCGGCTGCAGGTCTGGTCAGAATTGACGTCATCCGTGTTGCTCAGATCTCATGGTATCAAAATGACCGATTAGATCCCACTGCAAGCAGTTTGGAAATTTATTATTCATAAAATGCTATATAGGTTTTCAAATGCACTGACAGAATTTTATAAATTTAAATGCTTAAGACAAAAGTGAGTCCTAAGTGTCCGCTAGCCAGTAAGCAAGTTATCATAGTGATTCTTGCTAAGACCCACAAACTTCAAGCCAAATTTTAAGTTCCCACTTTTTCTCAGTGTTATTTGCCAAGCACTAAGCATAAAGCCAAAGGAGGTAGATAGGAGGGTTGTGCGGAACCTATAGATTCCACGATGTCTGGCGATCTGGTCATGTACCGCCTGTACAGGGGAAGGGGCGTGGGCGTGGCTCGGCGTTAGCCAAGTCAAATGTCAACGCACGATCATCTGGCTTCCCCGACTCTCGATACTTCCACACTCCCCGCTCCTCCCTCGACCTATTCGATCCGCATTGTTTCACTATTTTTTCCATTTATTAATTTTCCTATCAGTTGATTTATGCACAGACAGCACGTTTTGTATACTTTTTATTTTGCTATATTTAGCGTAATGAAATTACTGCAAACAAACGTGAAATATATCCCATTGTTTTGGCCAGCCACGCCCCCCCGCGGAGTGACTGTCTACATGCCGGCTTCTTCCTGATTGAAAGATCGATGATTTAAGCGATCTTCAATCTCCGGATCTCCGATCTCCGCAGGTGGCTTTGGGGGGGATAACGAACATTGAATTCGTTTCGCCTGTTGGCACCACAAAAATTTGTTTCGTTTTGTTTTCTTTTCATACAATTTATTAGCATTTGCGAAGGTCTGTTTTTCGTTTTCAGTGTGTATTTAATTAGGATTGTGGGTGGGTTTTTATTTCTCTAATTATAACTAACAATAAAAATAGGAATATAAGTTAAGGTAATAAGTGAGATACTAGACCATACTTGTAATTAATAATATTTGGTATTATTGACTAAATAAAAGAATAATAATATAATCCGCCACAGTGTTCGAATGAGTCAACGACAGGGAAAAAACTGACCCAGTCCGATTTGTGTAGAACGTCTCGTTTCGTATAAAGATAACGAAAGCTCATATATATAGGTATTTTATAGAGATAAGACATATGGCTAATTCTCTTTAGCTTTTGGACTGGTGAGCACTGAGAATGTTTATAAAAATCTGAGCATATAAACATACATATATGAAGAAAGCTAAAAAACTCTTAAAATTGTGTATATATGTGTATTTCCAAAATATTTGTTCCTTTGTTTACTATATTCTGTTTCTCTTTTCATTATCAACCGATGAGAACATTTCATAGCCACCTTAAGTACCTCAATTATACATTCAGATTCACTTCAGTTTCTCCTATATTATATATAATATCAAATAATGGCTGATAAGACATGGGTAATATATTTTATTCGCGGTTTATTTTTTATCAAAAAACTGAAAAGGGGGAATTCCCTTTGACAACAGCATTGGGTATTGGGATTGTGGTAAAAATAATGCTTTTGCCAGTCTGTTTTTAAGTGTCAAGGCGTACAGAACCCACAGCTATGAGCGGAAGAAACGAGAAAGCTTCTGAAAGTGCCGGCAAAAAAGCTTCAGCTCCCACCACAGAAGAGCAGCCTAGTGGGAGCAGACTGAGAAAACACGATGAAGAGCCTTCTGAAATCAATGCAAAAAGGCCCAAAACAACAGATGGAAACTTAGCGAATACTGCACCGTTGGAGCAGTTTACCTCACCAGAAAGTAATATTCAAGTCGCAAATGGATATCCATCACTTAAATCTATATTGGACTTAAACGAGTATTGCTGGATCGCCTTATTTTCTTATCTCAGTTTGAGGGACCAACTAAAGCTGGCTGGTTCTAATCGCAATATTTCAGAAATCTACAAGTCCTATATACGCAATAGATACAGACATATTGATGAGCACGTTACAGCCAACATCGATGAAACCGATTTGGCCCATCTTCTGGAACTCATGGGTGAAAAAGTAATCAGTTATGAGTCACCATTGGATCCCCAAAGCGATGGAGAGCAGCATTTGTGGCTTCTGTCACGCCGCACCCGCCAGCTGCAGCACTTGAAGATGACCTTCCGACGCCGCAGTGGGACTGACCTCCTGAGTTTGCACCAGCTGACCTCTTTGCATGCCCGCCTGCATTTCCTTAATACGGAATCCTATACCAAATTTGTTTGCAACCTTGTTCACTTGCCATGCCTAAGGAAACTGAAGTTGGAGGCGCCCAATTACAATGGCGATGGTTTGCATATGCTAGAGAATCTCGAGTTTCTTGAGGTTGGCACTCATCCTGGATTCGATGCCGAAAAACTGGCCATTTGTTGCCTGAAGATGAAGAGGCTTCGGCACCTCAATATAGGCAAGTACATCGACAACCTCACAGTGGAAAACTTTAGGGTGATTGTACGGAATTGTCGCAATTTGGAGCGGTTGGCCTTCGGAGAACACCTCCTCGGACGCAGCGTACCCTACGAGATCATCTGCCAGCTGCCCAGGCTGAAGCACTTGCAGTTGTGGCATTCGGACTCCATCAAGGCAAATTTCATCGAGGGACTTGTGAACAAGATGGGCGACCCGCTGGAGAGTCTCGTTTTGATCGGATACGAACTGAGGAGCGAACAGGTGGAGCATCTGTGCGATATATCCTCGCTCAGAGAACTCCATGTAGCCTGCGATACTGTTCCCTTGGGTGGCCTTTTGAAGCTGAAGAACATTGAGTATCTTCATATTGACATGCCAGACATAACCAACGATCAACTGATGGAGCTGCTAAAGGGCTGTCCACACCTGAGTGTACTCAGTGTTCGAAACTGTAATTTAATTACCTTGGATTTTGTACGTGATGCAACTCGGTTCTGGAAGCAGAATCGCAGTCGACCCGAATTGGTCCTAAGCGTTTATCTGCATGATTCATCTGTAAACTGGAATTTAGTTTGGAAGTTTTGTAATGATAGGGTTATTCGCTTTCTACAGGGTTCTCTACGCTCTTCCATTTTAATAAACCAAGAACTTTCGAATAGAAATTAAGTAAAGCAGTCATCGTAACTTCTCAAAAGATATTTTGAATAAATCTATTAATAAAAAAAAATATAAAAAATATATATAAAATGTTGCAAATATGTATCAAGTAGGATGAATATTGAAATAAAACTGTCGAAAACGAATCATTCGTTTATTTTACACTAATTTGTCATATCCTTATCATATTTATAGGGATTTTTACCACAAAACCTATTCCGAAATGGGTAGTTTACATTATAGAATATGACATTTAAAAGACGATTTCACAAATAGTAAAAGTGTATGTGAACTTCTAATGAAAAACTCACTCTCGCACAGACTGGTTTACATACCAACACATTTGTTCAAATAGCCAGCATTGGTGATTTTAATTAGACATAAGGTATTTTGATTAATGGAATAAAAATGCCCAAAAGAATATACTTGAAAAAAAAAGCACACATCAACGAACTGAATCATTACTTTTGTGTAGTTTTGGGTAGTGTTTCAATTTAACTTCAGTTTAGGAATGACTGCATTCTTTGGGAATCACAACGCTTAATTAAGCCGCCAGAGAGATAAAATAAATTCCTTGTGCTTCGTTAGTATTGCTGTTGTACGGGATTGTAAAATTAAATAAAGTCATGTGCGGCGACAAATTTGGCAACCAATTAACAGCTAACAAATAGATGTCACTGTCTGCATTAATAACTTTTTGTTAGCTTTTTCGTAATTAGTGTTAATTTTTAATAACAGAAAAAGAAAGCGGGTTGTTTTTTTTTGTCCTTAATCACACATGTGACAAATTACGAAAATGTTCTGAACGAGTCAAAACATTAAGGACCAAGTCCATAATTTGTATTAATTTATAAAATATATTTATATATTAAATATATATTTTTACACAAATATTACTTAAAAGAAGGTTTAGTTTTCTCTTGTGTTTTATTATATAAACATTTGTTTGCTTATGTATAGCTATGTGACTATTAGTAATTCAAGCATATATGTTTTCTCTTCTCTCTTATTTTGCAAAGCCATGTGAGAAAATCAGAGTCTTTTGTTTAAACAGCAAACCGTCACGCACGGCCCGAGATGAAAGTGAATTATGCGACGTAGCGGCGTTTTTCTACTGCCTAGACTGGCATAAATCAAAAGACTTAGAAAACGAACGCGAAACAGCTGACGAATAGAGGCGGAAAGTACAATGCGACAATTGATGACGCCGCCAAGCTTGTGTGTATGTAAATGTACTTAGTTTTTTTTTTTAGGGGAATCCGTGATGTCGTGCATGTTTCGAAAAAAAAATATATATACAGACCCGAGTTTAGTGTGGAAGCTTCTCCACCGTGCAGGTGTTGGTTAGTGTTTATTTTTTCTGCCGACATTCCGCACTACGCCAACGCAGAGTGCTGGTTTATACATATATGAGCTATATATAGTTGATCGGAGTCAGCTGAGGCTTCCTCTCTCTGACAGTTCCACAGTGAAAGACTCTCCTCAGCTGGCTACGTTTTTGGTTAACCGGATCTGATTCTGTTGGGAATTAATTCTGTTTGCTGGCTTGCTGTTGCCATCCATCCATCTATCCATCACTCACTCATACAGCTGTGTGCGCCATTCAAACAGCGGCGATCATTGCTCTCGAAAATGGTACGAAATATAGTCATGATTCGCAGCTTTGCCTTGCCTCTTGAGCCTGTCAACGTCATGGAATAGCTGTGGCAAGGCTTGCTCTCGGTGAAGAATGTATCCAAAAATCTTCTCATTCCAGGCTTGAGTTAATTTCGGCATTTTGCGGGTGCTGCCTCAAGAAATGATTAACAAAAGTTATATTGTAGAAAAAAACTGGTTTAAATGCCTGTTACGATTAGTCCATCCAGCAAGCACTTTTTAGAATGTTTTAGGTATGTTTTCCTCTTTTTTTTTTTGTGTTTCGGGCATTGGCTTGGTAATTTTAAAACTGGTTTCCCACGAACCCCGCCATTCCCCATTGCAATTATACGTAAATAAACCATAATTATAACGTTTAGCGTCAGAACAATTACGCCTTGCAGATTATTATCACTTTAAGGTGCCTTCTGTTTAACAAAACTTTATTTTTATAATGTTTGTTTGTGTTTTTCATATGTGATTCAGGCATAAACCCGCCTTAAAAAAGGGTAGATTAATTATTGAATCTAGGGACTTGCAAGTTGTATTTTAAATATTTCACTTTGCTGATGCCAGAAAATAAATAAATGACGACAAGAAAATATATTCTCTTGTATACCGACCCGCTTAATATATCCGTTATAATCATCCGGGTGTGGTGATTACTCAAACCCAATTAGAATCAAGCAAAGTAGGTGCTGTAATTACTTTTTATGATGACAAGTCGAATGTAGATAATTTGCCAAAATTGCTTAGCCACTCATTGAAATCACAAAGTAATAGACAAATATGCAAATTGTGAGCCTTAACATTCCAATAGTTTGGCCAATAGAGCAAAAGCGATTGGGTGTGACTCAACCTCCGCCGGCTTGAGCTCGAAGTCAATCAATTTTCCAGTCAATTAAAAACAAACTAAGTCAGCCAAATACATTTTCTAATATCACAATCTACAATTTATCGGATCAGTTGGACTTTGGAAAAAACCGGCTGCTACTGTGTCCACCGCTATGCGTAAATTATTTATCTAATTTGAGGTGAACATTTAAAGCATTCTCTGATCTTAACTAGCGCGAATTTATGCGTTATTTACACGCATAAAATTTAACGAAATTACGCAAATAAATGCAAATTAATTGCTTTATTTTAGAGAGTGGCAAAGTGATGGCAAACAGCTTGCTTCTAAAAATTCTGGCCGATTACTAAAATGGTATATATACTATATGTATCTAGGCGAAGGTTTGTTTCAATTTAACATTTTTCTTTTTAAAGAGTCGCAATTGAGTTGTGTGGAACCACGTACCACATACCCTTGCAGGGTATTATAATTTCAGTCAGAAGTTTGCAACGCAGTGAAGGAGACGTTTCCGACCCTATAAAGTATATATATTCTTGATCAGCATCAACAGGGGAGTCTTTCTAGACATGTCCGGGAGAAATTGATTTTTTGGCCATTTTTGCAAAATTTTATAAGGGGTTACATCATTAAAATTTTTGATTTTGATAAAAAATTGAATTTTCAAAATTTTTAAATTAAGTATGCAGATTTATTAACTGTAGAAAATCTTGCACAGAACAGTTTTCCGATTTAAAATTAATGCGCCTTTGGCCAAGTTATGATATTTTTAATAAAAAAAAAAATCAAGAAGTTTTTTAATATAAAAAATCAGATGTTATAATACAAAATAATATTTTTGTAAGTCAAGGATCATTTCCGACCCCATAAACCATATATATTCTTGATCAGCATCAACAGGGGAATCTTTCTAGATATGTCCGGAAGAAATCGATTTTTTGGCCATTTTTGCAAAATTTTATAAGGGGTTACATCATCAAAATTTTTAAATGAAGTATGCAGATTTATTAACTGTAGAAAATGTTGCACAGAACAGTTTTCCGATTTAAAATTAATGCTCTTTTGGCCGAGCTATGATATTTTTAATTTAAAAAAAATAAGAAGTTTTTTAATATAAAAAATCCGATTTTATAATACAAAATAATAATTTTCTAAGTCAAGGAATCATTTCCGACCCCATAAACCATATATATTCTTTATCAGCATTAACATGCGAATCTTTCTAGACATGTCCGGAAGAAATATATTTTTTGGCCAATTTTGCGAAATTTGATAAGGGGTTACATCATTAAAATTAGCAAAAATGGCCAAAAATTTCGATTTCATAAAATTTTAAATTTGTTATGCAGTTTTTTTACATTAATAATAACTAACACAAAACTGCTTTCCGAATCGAAATTAATGCATTTTTGGCTTAGTTATGATTTATTTTAATTGTTACCTGCAAGGGTATACAAACTTTGGCTGGCCAAAGTTAGCTTTCTTTCTTGTTATCCTTAAATTATACTCATTTTAGTGTGCTCTTAGGTATAATTATAATATAACCGTTTAACCTTTCCCTTTACAGAAAAAATGTATAGTCAGACTGAGAAACAGCGGTACGACGGATGGTACAATAACCTCGCCCATCCCGACTGGGGATCCGTGGGTAAGTGGTAGCCGGTACGGGAATTTCCGTCAGGCTGCTGACAACTTTCGAAAAAGGGCAGAACAGCCGATAGATCTCTTAACTAGAATCACACTGAAAAAACATGGCTATCATTACCATGTAAAAATAAATATTAAATATATAACAAGAGAAATCAGATACCTTAATACATTTTCCTACATCCATTTCTTAATTTCAAATGTTAAATAAATTAATCTAAATCTAAATAGTATTAAAAAGTGAATCTTAAGATCAACTTGAATCATTTTTCTTTGTGCGCTATTAAAAGTGTGATCGACCTGGATTTGCATATGACTATAATCTTTAGCAATGCCCTCGATTTGCATAGTCCCCAGCTGGATAGAGCTCACCTGTGCCCTTCCCTTTGCTTCCAGACAGCCACCTGGTGCGCAAGGCACCCCCCTCGTACTCGGATGGAGTCTATGCGATGGCAGGTGCCAACCGACCCTCGACCCGCAGGCTCAGCCGCCTGTTTATGCGCGGTAAGGACGGACTGGGCTCCAAGTTCAACCGGACCGCTCTGCTGGCCTTCTTCGGCCAAGTGGTGGCCAACGAAATCGTGATGGCCTCGGAGTCCGGGTGCCCCATTGAGATGCACCGCATCGAGATCGAGAAGTGTGACGAGATGTACGATCGCGAGTGCCGCGGCGACAAGTACATACCGTTCCACAGGGCGGCCTACGACCGGAGCACGGGCCAGAGTCCGAATGCGCCCAGGGAACAGGTGGGTACCGGTGCTGGCCACGGCCCAGAATCACGGTGTGATCAATCTAGCAATAAATCCTACTCCGCAGATAAATCAAATGACTGCTTGGATTGATGGCAGTTTCATTTACAGCACCTCTGAGGCCTGGCTCAATGCCATGCGCTCCTTCCACAACGGCACCCTGCTCACCCAGAAGGATGGCAAGCTGCCGGTGCGCAATACCATGCGAGTGCCGCTCTTCAACAACCCGGTGCCGAGCGTAATGAAGATGCTCAGCCCGGAGCGACTGTTTCGTAAGTAATGAAATCTCAAACAGAGTCTATTCAATGATGTTCGAAGTAAATCAACAATTTATTTGATATATTATTATAGTTCTTGGCGATCCGCGCACCAACCAGAATCCTGCTGTCCTCTCATTCGCCATTCTCTTCCTGCGCTGGCACAATACCCTGGCCCAGCGCATCAAGCGACTGCATCCCGACTGGAGCGACGAGGACATTTATCAGCGGGCCCGGCACACGGTGATTGCCAGTCTGCAGAATGTGATTGTCTACGAATACCTGCCCGCCTTCCTGGGCACCTCTCTGCCACCATATGAGGGGTACAAGCAGGACGTGCATCCGGGAATTGGCCACATCTTCCAGGCGGCTGCCTTCCGGTTTGGCCACACGATGATTCCACCGGGCATATACAGGCGCGATGGCCAGTGCAACTTCAAGGAGACACCCATGGGTTATCCGGCTATCCGACTATGCTCCACTTGGTGGGACTCTAGCGTGAGTTTTTGCAGATGCACAAATAGAATTTCGTTGAAAATATCATTCGATTATGCAGGGTTTCTTCACCGACACAAGCGTGGAGGAAGTGTTGATGGGCCTGGCCTCGCAGATATCCGAGCGTGAGGATCCCGTCTTGTGCTCGGATGTGCGGGACAAGCTCTTCGGACCCATGGAGTTCACTCGCCGGGATCTCGGAGCCCTGAATATTATGCGAGGCCGAGACAATGGTCTGCCGGACTACAACACTGCCAGGGAGTCCTATGGCCTAAAGCGGCACAAGACCTGGACGGACATTAATCCGCCACTGTTCGAGACCCAGCCGGAACTCTTGGAGTAAGTTATTAATGCTGTATTGGACTACTGATTGAGTAACGTTTTCCTTCCTCTCGCAGCATGCTCAAGGAGGCTTACAACAACCAGCTGGACGACGTGGACGTTTATGTGGGTGGCATGCTGGAGTCTTACGGCCAGCCGGGTGAGTTCTTTACGGCTGTGATCAGAGAGCAGTTCCAGCGACTGCGTGATGCGGATCGCTTCTGGTTTGAGAACGAGCGCAATGGGATTTTCACGCCCGAGGAGATCGTGGAACTGCGAAAGATCACTCTGTGGGACATCATTGTGAACAGCACGGATGTGGCCGTGGACGAGATCCAGAAGGACGTCTTTATGTGGCGCACGGGTGACCCCTGCCCGCAGCCCATGCAGCTGAATGCCACCGAACTGGAGCCCTGCACTTACTTGGAGGGCTATGACTACTTCTCCGGCTCAGAGCTGATGTTCATCTACGTGTGTGTCTTCCTGGGCTTTGTGCCCATCCTGTGCGCCGGAGCTGGCTATTGTGTGGTCAAACTGCAAAACAGCAAGCGGCGGCGACTGAAGATTCGGCAGGAGGCGCTGCGTGCACCTCCCCACAAGGGATCCGTGGATAAGATGCTGGCCCGTGAGTGGCTGCATGCCAACCACAAGCGGCTGGTTACCGTCAAGTTCGGCCCGGAGGCTGCCATCTACACGGTGGACAGAAAGGGTGAGAAACTGCGCAACTTTAGTCTGCAGCACGTGGACGTGGTCAGCGTGGAGGAGTCCGCCACGAACCACATCAAAAAGAAACCGTACATACTGCTGCGCGTGCCCAGCGACCACGATCTGGTGCTGGAACTGGAGTCGTACGGTGCTCGACGGAAGTTTGTGAAGAAGCTGGAGGATTTTCTGTTGCTGCACAAGAAGGAGATGACCCTGATGGAGGTCAACAGGGACATCATGCTAGCGCGTGCCGAGACCCGTGAGCGGCGTCAGAAGCGCCTGGAGTACTTCTTCCGCGAGGCCTATGCCCTTACCTTTGGGCTGCGGCCCGGGGAGCGGCGCCGGCGATCGGATGCCTCCAGCGATGGCGAGGTGATGACCGTGATGCGGACCAGTCTGTCCAAGGCGGAGTTTGCCGCCGCTTTGGGCATGAAGCCCAACGACATGTTTGTGCGCAAGATGTTCAACATAGTGGACAAGGATCAGGATGGCCGGATCAGCTTCCAGGAGTTCCTCGAGACGGTGGTGCTCTTCTCGCGCGGCAAGACCGACGACAAGCTGCGCATCATCTTCGATATGTGCGACAATGATCGCAACGGGGTCATCGACAAGGGCGAGCTGAGCGAAATGATGCGCTCGCTGGTGGAGATCGCGCGGACGACGAGTCTGGGCGACGACCAGGTAACCGAGCTGATCGACGGCATGTTCCAGGACGTTGGGCTGGAGCACAAGAATCACCTGACCTACCAGGACTTCAAGCTGATGATGAAGGAGTACAAGGGCGACTTCGTGGCCATCGGGCTGGACTGCAAGGGGGCCAAGCAGAACTTCTTGGACACCTCCACGAACGTGGCGCGCATGACGTCGTTTAATATTGAGCCTATGCAGGATAAGCCGCGCCACTGGCTTTTGGCCAAGTGGGATGCTTACATCACGTTCCTCGAGGAGAACCGCCAGAACATCTTCTACCTTTTCCTCTTCTACGTTGTGACCATTGTGCTCTTCGTGGAACGCTTCATCCACTACTCGTTCATGGCGGAGCACACGGATCTGCGTCACATCATGGGCGTGGGCATTGCCATTACCAGGGGCTCCGCTGCCTCGCTCTCCTTCTGTTACTCGCTCCTGCTGCTGACCATGTCAAGGAACCTGATCACCAAGCTAAAGGAGTTTCCCATCCAGCAGTACATACCCCTGGACTCCCATATCCAGTTCCACAAGATCGCCGCCTGTACGGCCCTCTTCTTCTCGGTGCTGCATACGGTGGGCCACATTGTAAACTTCTATCACGTGTCCACGCAGTCCCATGAGAACCTGCGCTGCCTTACCCGCGAGGTGCACTTCGCCTCGGATTACAAGCCGGACATCACTTTCTGGCTCTTCCAGACTGTAACCGGCACCACAGGAGTCCTGTTGTTCATCATCATGTGCATAATCTTCGTGTTCGCGCATCCCACGATCCGGAAGAAGGCCTACAACTTCTTCTGGAACATGCACACTCTGTATATCGGCCTGTACCTGCTCAGTCTGATCCACGGACTGGCCAGACTCACAGGTCCGCCCCGTTTCTGGATGTTCTTCCTGGGTCCGGGCATCGTGTACACCCTGGACAAGATTGTCTCGTTGCGCACCAAATATATGGCATTGGACGTGATTGAAACGGATTTGTTGCCCTCCGACGTGATCAAGATCAAGTTCTACCGGCCGCCCAACTTAAAGTACCTTTCCGGCCAATGGGTGCGGTTGTCGTGCACTGCCTTCCGGCCGCAGGAGATGCACAGCTTCACGCTGACCTCGGCGCCGCACGAGAACTACCTCAGCTGCCACATCAAGGCCCAGGGTCCATGGACGTGGAAGCTGCGCAACTACTTTGATCCGTGCAACTACAATCCGGAGGATCAGCCCAAAATCCGAATAGAGGGGCCGTTTGGGGGAGGCAATCAGGACTGGTACAAGTTCGAGGTGGCCGTGATGGTGGGTGGTGGCATCGGTGTGACCCCCTACGCCTCCATCCTCAACGACCTGGTCTTTGGTACGAGCACAAATCGCTACTCGGGCGTGGCCTGCAAGAAGGTCTACTTCCTGTGGATATGTCCTTCGCACAAGCACTTTGAGTGGTTCATCGATGTGCTGCGAGACGTGGAGAAGAAGGACGTGACCAATGTGCTAGAGATACACATATTTATCACGCAGTTTTTCCACAAGTTTGATTTGCGAACGACCATGCTGGTGAGTAGAGTTTGAGCAAGGAGAGAATCCGTTTAAGTAGTTAAATATAATAATATTTATAAATTTAATTTTTTTATTATTATCAATTTCAGTACATCTGTGAAAACCACTTCCAGCGGCTGTCGAAGACCTCAATATTCACTGGCCTCAAGGCAGTGAATCATTTTGGTCGCCCGGACATGTCCAGCTTCCTGAAGTTCGTCCAAAAGAAGCACTCTTATGTATATATTAATTTATTTTCTCTTTAACGAAAATATATTTAATTCCTGGTATATTTTTTTAGGTCTCTAAAATAGGCGTCTTTTCGTGCGGCCCACGGCCGCTGACCAAGAGCGTGATGTCTGCCTGTGATGAAGTTAACAAAACACGAAAGTTGCCTTATTTCATACACCATTTCGAGAACTTTGGATAGATCTGCCAGCGCCAGCGATAAAACCCATTCACACCTGCCAGCTGCCCCGTCACCCTCTGTTCCACCTGCTGCCCGCTTCTCTCTCAAACGAAAGCTAATTAATTGTACTCCTAAGGTTCATTCACTAGGCTAAGCGAACTCGAATCCGGCAGAATCCCCTGTACTTAACTCTCGCCCTCTCTCTTAATCGTAGGCTACGCGTACAATCATAGTTTAGAAATGTTTTGTTTAGTGTATTATATGAAAAATGTATCACCTGTCTCCAATTGTAACGAAAAAACAGAAAGATCAACAAAAGCAAGATCAACAACAAAGCGGCCTCTACTTATATGTATGTATGTATGTATATGTGTATTTATTGAAAATATGATTTGTTATCAGTTTTTGTAAACCGTTCGCATTATTTATTGAAAATTTACGATTATATTGAATATCCGCAAACGAATCAAAACTTATGAAGTGATTTTTAAAATGATTAAAATGGCGCCGAACTGCTTGGTATACCAAGAAGGGGAAGTAAGCAGTGCAAAAGAGCTCTACTGCACAGTGATGTCTCACAAGGTAAGGCATGGTACACTCACTTTCGCTGGACAAGCACTTTCATTTCAAAAATATTGGTAAATATTTCCTTATTTTTTAAGCTGTAAATACTATTTATTGTCCAGTTGTGCTAGTATGTTTCTTGTTATCAAAAGAAAACTGGACTCAACATTCTAATACATGAATATTTTGCCTTAAAGGGATGCACTTTACCCTTAATGTGGTTCTTAAAAATGATTAGATTAAAAAATATTAATAATATTGCAAGGTTTTGGGTTTTTTGAACTTATATCTTAAATTATTCCGAATTTATTTTAAAGAATATTATATTAAAATTAAAGCAAACCGAGAAGCAGTGTTCAAGCAGTTCATTTTATGTACTATGGCCAAGCAGTATTGACATACAAGCAAGGGTCAATATTTGTGCCATCACTGTATAAAGGAAGTACGAAGTACGCAAGTGCGGAATTCAGCTGATTAAGGATGTTTTTATCAAAAACCAAGCAAAGAAAAATAAATATTTGTCACAATTGGCGACTCTATAAATAAATGGACGTGTAAAATCTACAATTTAGCTCAAATAATCAGACGTAATGGAGGCTATCAAGCATTTTACAATGGAAACCTACACCAATATGCTCAATCGCGAGCTGTCCATCAATGAATGGGCTCAGGAGCGGTTAGTTCTGCCGAAATAATTCTGTTCGAATTAAACACCGAGTAAATTAACGTATAATCTTTATAGCTTGAGCTCTGGAGCCTCGCTGTGGGCCTTCATGAGCATATATCTGGACCCCAGCAGCCTCTTTAATCTGTTCATTCCGTTGTGCGGCATCTTCAGCCAGGAGCTGCTCACGCATCTCTTGACGGCAGTTAGTCTGGTCAGCACCCTGAACTCCTTCGAGAAATGGTATGCCATGGTTTTCTTGTATAAAACAGGTATAATCAATATTTGCTATTACAACAGGATTTATCCGGAGATGCGTCCTTTGTGGTGGCTGCGTGAGCGGTTTGCCGATAAGAAAGTGTCCTTTAAGCCACCAGTGGCCCTGGAGAGCCATAAGCTTAGCTGCGAGACAAGTGGCGGCCTGCCCTGCGCCCATTCCATGACCTTCACTGTTTTTGCTCTCATCCTGGGCTCATTCTGCTTTGTCCACTGCTGGAATCGGTTCAGGTCCTGGCGTTCGCCCATTTGGCGCTGTATGATGTACCCGCTAATCGTGGGCTCGGTGGTCTGCATGTGGCTAAGCCGCCTCTACCTGGCCACAGAGTTTTTGCACCAGTGCGTCATTGGCAGCTACATTGGCCTGAGGCTCCTCAACACCTTCGAGGCCAATGCCAATTACCTGTACTCGCGTCCACGTCTCGTTATGGTGTCTGTGGTGTGTGTCTTGGGAGGACTCGCAGTGGCAGTGTACTTTATCAAGTTGGACTTGGATTTGGATCCACATTGGTCCGTGCGACAGGTGAGACTATATAGAACTTTTAATGCTTAAGGCTTTATTATTATTATTTTTCCTTTTCAGGCTTTTAAATGGTGTCCAGAGCCCACCTACATGCGTCACGAGGCAAGCACCATTTTCCTCCTTGCCCGAGACTTGGGCAATCTGATGGGACTGGCCCTGGCATCCCCCCTCTCAAATCTGTAAGGTTCTTGTTTCAAAATTCGAATTACAGACTTACCATACCTCTTTTGCAGGCCCAACAAGCAGTCGCCCTTTTGGCGAAGGTGCAGTGTCCTGGGCGCTTTGGAGTTCCTCAATTACGGTCTCCGCCTGGCCACACCCAAGCAGCATGGCCGATTCGCTTTCTTGGCCTATGAATTCTCCAGAAATGCATTACATTCGCTGGTGCTCTTGAAGTACTCAACGCAGTTCTACTAGACTGAGATTAAGATATTTTTGTGTAAATAAAGACAGAAAACATATAAGAAATGTAAGAAATATACAAGCTTCCCAATGAAAAAAAACAGATCTATAAAATTAATTAGGTTATAATAAGTATTAACAACTAAACTCATTTCCGACCCCATAAACCATATATATTCTTGATCAGCATTAACAGGCGCATCTTTCTGGCCAAGTCCGGAAGAAAAAAATTTTTGATCAATTTTTTCAAAATTTTATAAGGGGTTAGTTACATCATTAAAATTCTCAAAATTTGATAAAATTTTCAATTTCTAACTAAGTATGCAGATTTGTAAACCTTATAAAAACTAACATAACGCCGCTTTCCGAATGCAAATTAAGGCATTTTTGACAGAGTTATGACTTTTTTTCTATTTTTCTCGTACTGTGATGTTACTGCTATTTTTGTAATTGTGTAAATGCTAACCGATAAGGTTGCCGGCGCGCCCGATTTAGTGAAATGCCTATAATTTATAAAAAACCCTCATAGGTGTATTTTAATTATTTTCTTAGTTTTATTGCCGCTTTAAAAGGCGTTTTCCTAATTTTTCTTTTATATTCCTGGTTCAAATCAAAAAGTAAAAAAAATTGCATACTTTTAGGCATTTTTAAATATTATTTGTTAATTTTAGCGGCATCTTTTGGGCTGAATTTTTAAGTCTTTGATAAATAAAGTAACGTATACTTTTGGGCGGGGATGAATGAATTAAATTAAATTAAAAAGATAAAAAATTGCCCACTTTTAGGCATTTTAAAATATAAGTTGGTCATTTTTGTGGCATCTTTTGCGCTGAATTTTTTAGTCTTTGATTAAAATATAAAGTAAGGCATACTTTTGGGCGGGGATGAATGCAACTCCACTTTTACAGTTTGACAAGCACTGGTCCAAGTGAGATTCAGTTTTTACAGTTTTAGAGCCACTGGACAGAAACTCCACTTGGGACGCCCAAAAGGGAGTTTCTGACCAGTGCTTGTCAAACTGTAAAAATCGAATCTCACTTTGACCAGTGCTTGTCAAACTGTAAAAACTGAATCTCACTTGGACCAGTGCTTGTCAAACTGTAATCTGAACTTCCGCCTAAAAGATGCCACGTTTTTAATAGAAATCCCCAAAAGTATGCTTTAATTTTTTAATTTTGCGTTTTTGACCGGCGCAAGTAAGCGGAGACTCAAACCTTTTGAATCCAAATTTAATTGTTATTTTACAACTGCACCTGGGCACACTGAAACTGATCGTCGTTAAATTTAAATTCAAATTTGGCAGGAGGAGGAGGTACCCTGGAGACCTCATTTTTCGGTCGCCTGGGGCCAGAAGTAGACGACCTACAATGGCCAGAATGTGAAGGAAGATACTTAATGTAATCGTACTGTGATGTTACTGCTATTTTTGTAATTGTGAAAATGCTAACTGATAAGGTTAGCCGGCGCGCCCGATTTAGGGCAGAATGATTAGATACTAAGGTCACAAAGGGGTAAATGGCACTCCGTATGCCTTATTAAATATAGTGCAAAAAAAATTAAAAACTATAAAAGGCATAACTCTGTCAAAAATGCCTTAATTTGCATTCGGAAAGCGGCGTTATATTAGTTTTTATAAGGTTTACAAATCTGCATACTTAGTTAGAAATTGAAAATTTTATCAAATTTTGAGAATTTTAATGATGTAACCCCTTATAAAATGTTGAAAAAATTGATAAAATTTTTTTTTCTTCCGGACTTGGCCAGAAAGATGCGCCTGTTAATGCTGATCAAGAATATATATGGTTTATGGGGTCGGAAATGACTCCTTCAATGCGTAATGAGCTTCGGACTTGAAATAAAATACCCTGCCAGGGTATAAGGATACTAGGACTTGGACTTGGCCTGACATTGCCGCATAGAATGGGGCGATAATGAAACAGTGTTTAATTTTAACTTATACTAGTACTATTAAGAACCAAACAAAAAAATAAATATATTTAGGTTTTGATTTGCATAAGCCTAATGATTAAATGAACAAACAAATGGGTATGAACTCCATGTCGAAGACCACAATTTTACAATATTAACGGAAAATAATTAAACTTTCCTTAGTTGTGCGGTTGGCCACCACAAGATTGGTGTTCTTCTGCGATTGCCGCCTGTCCGCACGGAACAGGCAGTCCACGCGATCCGCCTCGAAGAAGGCGTAGACAACGCGCAGGTTGTTAGTGAAACCGCCGCCATCCTTCCACGCACTCAGGATGACAATGGGATCGCCGTCGCTGATGATTTCCATTTTCTTGGCACAGGTAAGGCCAAAGTGGACACGTTCGTCTACGTCGGTGGCGTAGTCAGCGCTGGGCTCGGAGGTATACAGCATGGGCAGGACTCCGCGATGTATGTAGACCCAGCGGGCGGCACGCTCGCAGCGGGTGATCGCCATGATGGGGCAGCGTGGTCGGAACTTGCTGACCAGCGCGGCCGAGCGACCCGAGGAGGTCAGCACCAGGATCAGTGTGGCGTTCGTTTTCTTGGCCGTCTCCACGGCGGCGATGGCCAGCGAGTGCGCCGCATCGAGCTCACCGCGCACCTCGCTGACTAGGTCGGAGAACAGGTCACGGAACCAGAGCACCTTTTCCGCCTCGCGGCACAGCTTGTCGCAGGTGGCCACCGTCTCGGTAGGGTACGGCCCGATGGCTACCTCCGAAGAGAGCAAGATGCAGTCGGCACCATCTATGATCGCGTTGCCAAGATCAAAGCACTCTGCCCGCGTTGGCTGTGCCTCCGTGCGCATGGACTCCAGGATGTGCGAGGCCACGATCACCGGCTTGCCGGCCTTGTTGCACTGGCCCAAGATGCTCTTCTGGGTGAGGAACAGCTTGTGGATGGGTATTTGGGTGCCCAGATCTGCCCGCGACAAAAGCAGGCCGTCCGCCGCCCGCATAATCTCCGAGAAACGGCTCAGCGCAATCTTGCTGTCCATCTTGGCGATGATCTTGATGTGCTTGCCCTTCTCGCCGAGCACCGCTCGCAGTTCCTTGATGTTCTTGGCACAGCGCACGGCCGAAGCAAAGAGGAAGTCCACGTTGGCCTTCATGCTGAATTGAATGTCGAACATGTCCTTTTCGGAGACGGCTGGCAGATCGATCTCGACTTCGGGCAGGATCACATTGCAGTTATTCTTCAGCTGACCGCCCTGGATGACCTCGCACAGCAGCCCGTCCACGCCCACCTCCATGATGTGGAGCAGCAGCTTGCCATCGTCGATGAACAGGCGGTCTCCGGTCTTGGTTAAATTTATGATGTTCGGGTAGTCCACGTAGACGGCCTCCTTATTGCCCTTGTCGTAGAGATCACGGTTGATCGAGAGTCTTAGGTTATCGCCAGTGCGCAGGAACACATCTCCGTCCAGCAAGCCCGTCCGGATCTGGGGTCCTCTGGTGTCCGCCGCGATGGCCACTGTTCTTAAGTGTCCTGTCTCCTTATGAATCCTCTCCAGCGCGGCGTTAATCAGCTCGATGGTCTTTGAGTGCATCTCATGCGACTCGTGCGCAAAGTTCAGTCGGAAGATGTTCACGCCCCTCATGATCATGTTGTATATGGTCTCCGTATTCCTTGAACTGTGGGATATGGTAGCGATCAGAGACACCAGGCGAAGGTGCGAGGCGGTCTTCGAGATGTCCAGCTCGCAGATGTGGTTCAGCTCGGTGGAGCCCTCCTTGAGTATGGTCTTTGCGGAGTACGACATGGTTATATTGAAATTTTAAGTTTATAAGACTACTGAAGAATTTTGAAAAACTTTTTTTTACTTTTCAAATGAACTTTAGTATAGTTTATATAAAGTCTTGATACATATTACGAAAATGAAAACTGGTTTTTAAATGGATTTGACATATTTCAAAGCCACCTTTATGAATATATTTTATTGGCGAAATACCCAAGTTTATTTTTTAATTAAAGGTAAGCTAAATATTATATAGTTTGCGGCATAAATATTATTTAAAACACCCACTTTATTCAATTTTCTTTCAATAATTTTTTTTATTCTTCTATTTTCCGTACTTGTTTGCTTATCAATGGACGCTACTTAAATAACGAAACTAATTACATAAAATAATTAAAGTTAGCACTTACAAACGCTATTAAATTAATTGGAGCTATTTGCTAACTACCTACATACTTCGAGTGCTTAAGTACATTGACTTTAGCTTTGATTCAGCTTAAGCTTAACCGCGACTACAACTAATGGCAGCACATGCACTACAGTTAATTAGGCTTTAAATAATAACGCTAATGTAAATGCTTTGCAAATGAGTTTAAATTAGTTGAAGAGATGTGGAGTTGAACGCTAACTGAAATGGAACGAGAGAGCTATGTCTAATTTGTCCGATATGTGTGTGTATCTTGGTTGTTGGTGGCCACTGGCACTAGCACGGACTATCTGCAGCCGCAGGACTCCACGACCATGTTGGGAAGGGTCTTCACCGTGGCCGAGCTGCTCGAGTCCATCACGACCAGCTGCAGCGAGGAATACTGTTTGGCAGTGCAGCAGGGCACTAGCTCCAGCGACTTGTTGGCACCGCTTGTGGAGAGAATTTTCTGCAAGTAACAAAAAGAGGATAAAATTAAAAATTGCTAGAAAATATATAAAATATTTTCAGGACACCTACCATCAGGGAGCTGTGGTGGGAGGCCGCTTGCGTCACACTCGCCACCGAGCTGCAGGATCCGCGGCAGAAGTAAGCGTTGTAACCGTCTGGCTTCAGGATCCAATTGCTCCAGCCGATTTCCTTGAAGGAAATGTACAAATGTTCGCGACAGCACTCGGTCATGCCGCTGGAGCAGTTGACGCTGCGCTTCTGGCGGCTCTTCCTCCGCCTGTTCTGCATGTCAATCATAATGAACGGCCGGTAGTCCTTGTCCACCGATATGATCTCCTCCATGTCGCCGACCTCGCAGCCCGTGCAGGTGATCTGAATGAGATGGCTCAGATCGTGATCGCCGATCCAGCGCTTAATGGGCCATTCAATATCGATCTTCATCCATTCATCTGAAGGTAAAAGAAAAGAGAGAGTTAGCTATAATTTATAATTTTAGTAACTAAATAATAATAAACATGGAATTAGAATTCCCATGAATCAATCTTAATTCAAATATCAGTTTCGAAAACTATTTTAGTGACTTTTTCTGTTACGATTTGTTATCAGCCAACTGACCCAAGGAACTCCCAAATTCGAGCTTCTTGGCCAAAGTTCAATTGACAATATTTTGGCATGTTATTCACCCACACGAATCCGAGACTCTGGGCTGTGAGCTGCTATCACGAATCTGCGCAATGATCTGTCTAATTGAAAACACAAACATGATGATGGAGCTGGCGGTTCAGCCACTTATCGGTCAGCGGTATAATAATTATTATAAATCCATCTAATATATGCTTGTCACTGGCTTTGATTTCTCTCCTAGGGGTATTTGGGGTCAGTTTCGGCTGTTTCGTGGCTGACCAAAGGTCCAAACGCGTCTCTACGCCACGATTACGTCTTGGGAGACGATTCCACTCCACCACTCACCTTGCTCATTCACCGCCTGCAGGGCTATGGTCTTGGCCACCGGCAAATACTTTGAGTCCTTCTGCTTCTCCACCTCCACCTCGGAGACAACGATTGTCTGTCGCGAGCTTGTGCTATTCAGCGAGGATTCATCCTGGCTTATCGTAGTGGTGCGATTCTGCTTGTTCTTGAACAGCCACAGGACGGCGGTGCTGACATCGAAGCCCTCGGCATCGTCGATCTTGAAGCTGAAGCACATGGAGGGTTTTCCACTCAAGCGATTGCACTCGACCTCCTCTGTAAAAAACAGGATTATGCTTTGTTTAATACAAGTTACATTTTAAAATTATAAACTAAATATAAAGTTCGAAATTAAGGAAGATTGCCTACCTCTTTTAAGCAGTATAAACTTCTTGCTGGTTCGCGCATAGTAATCGTCTAGCTCCTTTTTCTTGGAGCTGTCGTCCGGATGGGACAGGCTCACGCCGTCGAAGATAGGCTTCGGCAGCTCTACGGCGGATACGTTGGGACTCTCCTTGAGCCGAAGCTTCTCCAGGATCTGCTGCTTCACGAACTCGATGCGCAGGTGTGTCAGCTGCTCCTCGGTGATGTGTTCCACCTGGCGACTGCTCTCGCACTTGGGACAGCCTCCGCCACCGCCGCTGGACTTTACCGATATGGTAATGTTCTTCTCCATCAGCTCGGCCTCGTTCACCATGGGCGGTACCACAGGATCTTCGTCCTGTTCTGGTTCCAGCTCTTGATCCCTCTTCTGCTCCTCCGCCATCAGTTCGTTGCGGACAAAGTCCAGCGGAGAGAGATCGAGCTGCTCCTCGGACGGAAGGTAAGACTCCTCCGGGGCATCACCGAACATGCGCGGATAGTCCTCACTCTCCACGGGATTCTGCTGGCGGTGGGACTTCTCCTCCTCCTCCATGAGATGCTGCCACAGGCGGGGAACCTTCAGTTGCTCGCCGTGATGGTTGTAGCTCAGCTCCTGCTTCAGCTGCTGCTCCCTCTTGTGGATGGCATGGAGCCTGAGGCGGGCATAATACTCCTGCTTGGTGATCGGCGCTTCGTCCTCCTCGCTGGTCGGATCCGGTTCCAGGTGCTTGATCTGGCGGGACCGTTGCTGGCGAATGTGGTGTTCCTGCTGCAGCTGCTGCGACGTGTGCTGAACGTGGGGATGCGGCTGGTGTTTGGGATTCGGGCGCAGGATGTCGCCCCGGGAACTGGGATGCGAACGGGCATGCAGGCGGTTGTATATGTTCTTGTTCTCCAGGGCCAGGCACGCCAGCAGTATCAGGATAATAAAATATTTGGCCATCTTTGTGGTTTTACTGCGTTTTGTGCTCTTGAAATTTATTGGTTTAACCAAGTTATTTTCACTTAATTTTTTTTCACTTGAACTTTTCGTCTGGGACTGATTACTATCTCTTTGGCAGCATTAAAACATCAATGGTAGTGGCTTTTCGATTTACAAAACTCATAGAATTGCAGCGAATTTCACTTAAAGTTGCCGTTGTAGAGCCTGCTTCGAGCCCTGTTTAAAAACTGATTTGAGAATGGAATCTGTTGGTTTATTGCAGGCGACCTATACGCTTGGATGCATGATGAGCAACTTTGAGATTTCCTTTGGTCCTGTCTGTAATGAAAAGGGTGAAGGCAAATGGAAATTAATGAATGTCTTTAGCTAATTATCAAAATCTATAAAGAAATCTATTTGATAAACTTTAAGGATATTCTGTTAAAGTCCTTTCTTTGGCAAATGAAAAGGTAGCTTTAGATTCCACCCTAAGGTATCTATCTAAATTGTATTATAATTATATAAGCCACTGGCACCTGCTTTTAGCACTCTATAAGCCCGAGTTCTCGCTTAATTTTTCAAGAAATTTCATCATTTATATTTGCCTTGTGGAATTCACATGCGGCAAAGTGCAAACTTTTCGACATTAATTTCCAGAAGATTTTGTTTCGATTTCAAAATCTAGAGTGACAGCTCGAGCACAGTAATTGCGCCTTATCACGGCCCGGACGAAATTGCGCTATAGCCATAGGTGAAGCTATAGCTCTTAGGTTAATCGCCAACCGGGCTAGGACTCGGATCGAGAGCGTAGTTTTCGCAGAGTTGCTGATAAGCAGGTGCAATTAGGTGGCAATTAGGTGGACCCCACACGTACCGCACTGTGATTATTTTATTGGATTCTGATGACTTGGCACTCGATCACTTTGAACCCGGACACGAAAAGCGATTGGATCTTTGGCTTTGCTTTGGGTTTTGGCCGCGTATCAATGTTTTTCTTTATTATTTTTATTATTATTTTTATTAGGAGTGCGTTTCCTTTTTCCGACGTGCGGCAGCGCAAACGAGTTGTGAATGAATGAAGCAGTTTGACTGATTAGTAGAACCATTTATGTGACGATCGCTGATTGATCGTTCCGCGAGCGAGAGAGAACGAGTTCCCGAGGCCAGACGAAGCCACCCGATGTGGCCCGATCCCAGCCGACTCCGCCCGAAGCCGGCACACGATCGCCGCAATGGCGAGCTCGATTTCCCATGGTTTATGGTTACATGGCGGCGCTCTCGCCGAAGACAATTGCATGTGCAAATCGCAGCGGTCATTGCATCAGCTTCGATGCACAAAGCTGCATAAATTCTTGCTGGCTTCTTGGTTTTTGTTTTTCGCCCTGGGTTTGCTTTATTTTTGGGCTTCCGCTGACCACCACCTGTGGGGCGCCACGCCCCTCGCTGCTATCGCGTTGCGTTGGTTTCGTTTTTGGCAAGCGTTTGGCCGCAACGGGGGGTTTTGATACCAACTGAATTTATGAGCGGATCGCGGATCGAGTGGCCCATTCATGCTAATTGCCCCGCAGCGCTATCAAGCTTGACTTTGATGATCCGACCCGATTGTGTGTCAATCAATTAATAGTGAGCACGTTGCTGATAAGCTCTCCGGTGCCCACCACGAAATGTTTTATGGTCCACAAACGAGGGCATGGAGTATGGAATCAAGCCATTAACCATGTCTGTTATGTGATTTACGCTGCCCGGTTAAACGGATTCCGATTCGGATTCCGGCAATCGATGAGCGCGATTAAAAATCACTCGCATTTCAAATGACTGGCGCCCCATAATTACCGTTTGTATTTTCCATTTCCAATTCAAATTCAAACGAAAGTGTTGGGGTTTGGGGAAATTTGCGGGGACTTTCACGTCTACATGTTTATTTTCGTTGGGGAATTTCATCAGCCAGCTGAATTTCTTTTGCTCATTCTACGCTGCTCTGGTCTCGGCTAAATGTGGAACAGTCGGGTAAGGTCAAGAAAAC